CGTTTGAAAAATTCGATTAACAATTAGAGTTTCCTATCTCAAATAGACTGAAGAAGTTCATAATGAACGGAATAAAGTATACGTTGGTACAATGCATTTGATTCATTGACCAAATTCATTTTAATCTTATTATATAGATTCTGACTTGCATTTCCACTTCTTTCCACTTTTTTCTTCGGAAAAAAAAATTTGAAAATCCGTGAAACCATGAATGATATTTGTTTTATCATACCTGTATGCAACCCGCTTTTCCCGTGCTCTCCATCCTAGAAGCTACGTTGACGGTGTTACCCCAAATGTCGTAATGCGGTTTTCTCGCTCCTATAACTCCTGCGGTGATGGGGCCATGATTTATGCCCAATTTTAAAACAAAATGGTTGAAGCTCTGTTCGTTTATGCTTTGCAATGCATTTTTGAGTTCTAGCGCGAACTCTACGAGAAGGGCTAAATGTGCCCACCGAACGGTAATGGGATCTTCCGCCTAAAAAGTGATAAATTTCAAGTGAGTAAAATATCTTGCACATCATTTTGCACATTCGTATATGACATAATATTCCGAAAATTTCAAATTTCCGTCCAAATAAATAGGGTCTGTAATATTAAAATGACCAGACTAGAGCTAGAAGTTCCTTTTTTATAGTGCCATATCCAGTTTCAGCTTCGTTTAGTGTTTTAATGATACGTTTTGGGTCTAATAATACACCTTCATTTTGCAGTAATATTTTTGTGAGTTGGCTTCTAATTTCTGATTCTGAATGAGATGAATCTATGGGAGTACTTGAAGGCTTTCGACTCATTTTTTGATACTTAAGAGGAATTTGACTATGTTCATTAGTCAATATCTGATTTTTGAAATCTGAATTGAATCCGTACTTATTCAGAAAATCTGAGGCTAGTAGTGTAAAATTTTCATTGGAGTATTGTTCTTGATTTGTTTGATCAATTTCGTCATTTTGATCTAATTCATAATTTTCTTGATCGTTATCATATGTGTCGTAATCGTCTTAAGTTGATCTAATATGGGTTAGTTCTTCGAATGTGAAATTTGGGTTTGGATAATTGTAATTTTTGATATTCTTAGGAAATTTTCTCTGCAAAGTTTTTTTTAATAATGGGGAAGATTTTGATGGATTTAATGAAGAAGAACGGATAATATTCAATGTTAAAGATGATTGAAAGAACTTCGAAACGTTTGAAGAGAATTCAAGAAGAAGATAGTGATGAAGACGAGGAACGAGATGCAGGTCAATAGAAAAATGACATTGCTGTAAATTTTGTTGTCTGATGATGACTATGGAAAACGACCCGAAAGAAGCCAGGGTCTAGTCTCTAGACGAAGTCAGTTGATCGATGGATGAAGAAATTGGAACCCACATACTGACGATTTCATTGTTGATGATGAAGGTAACCCAATCACTGGAAAGAAGAAAACAAGTTCAATATTTTCTGATGCTGCTCTACAAGCGGGTTAGTGAACTTTTCGGGTTGATCTTGACTATGAGAAATTCTACAAATATGACCAGGAAGACCATAATGAAGAAGAGTATAATGACATAGATGAAATTGAAGAAAGAAGAGAACAGGCAAAATATTTTGGGAAGAGAAATAGAGTTAGTTGGTAAAAGTAGAGAAGAATATTATATACTCATGAAATGAAGATTTCTTACCTGTTGAATTGAAGAGACATAAAACGGACCGACGGGGCAGATTGTTTTCTGAAGATATAATGAAAGAAGCATGTGGGAGAATTAATGAACTTGGTATTTTATTTGCTGCTGAAGGCCATACATTTTGTGAAATTAACAAAATACAACGAGGGTGGCACAGTAGAAAAACTGTGAGATTGATCAGGAGGAGGTCAGCGTTGCGATTGCGGCCAATCTGTTTTTCTCTAGAATATTCTAGTGAACGTAGACATAACGACCTCTAGGTTTTATAAATTTCTAGAATCGAACCTCCGAGACATCTGATTGGATATGTGGAAGACCGGATACCAGGAAGTCAGTCAGCTACCGTAAGTGATAAGAAAGGGTTAGCTACAGTTAGATTGACGGTCAGGGTCGGATATTGAGTTACTATAGAGTGAATGGAATAGAAAAGTGTTGTTTCGAAGTATATGTTATTATTCAGTTTGTAAATAAAGAATTATTTGTTGATTTGTGGATTTAGTGAGTGGAATTAAGAAATAGATTGATCTATATTTTCATTGATCTAACCGCTCTAGGTGGATTTATATTTTCATTGATCTGGTCTTTTAGATGGATCCACGCTTTCACTGATCTGGCCGACAACGTGGATATGTCCCCTGTCTAGCTACTTTCTCACGGAAGATTGTCATGCGTGAGCTAAATCAACGAGCACAAATTTTTCACCTGATCGTGAGCTCTCCGATAGTATTGAAAGTGGCGCGGTACAATTACTTGTTAACTCGTCATTGTTTTCTGATGAATCTTGATTCAATATAGTGCAATGTTGTACGCGCGGAAAGTGTAAATTTGTCTGACCGTTTTTGTTATATTTGTGGCCAATAAATGGCACTAAAGCAACAACTCAATATTACGCACTTTGTGAAGAATGTGTATTTATCATATTTTGGCTTAAAAGTTGGAGATCAGTATAACGTTTGAGCACCTCATAAAGTCTGCAAAAGATGTGTTGAATTCCTTCCAAACTGATTTGAGGGCAAGGAAAAAGCTTCAGTTCTCATACCCCTTCAAGTCAATTTCATACCCTTATCTGCAATCAGCTATTCGTTACATTCCTTATGGTACCGAAATATATGTACGCAAGGCCTATGCTACCTTGGAAGAGATTCCAAGTTCTGACGAAAATGGTGCTGTACCTGAACCCGATGACAATTCATGTTTCGAATTTGAACATAATAACAGTCCAAAACTTTAGAAATCACATCATTCATTGGCAGTCACTCATTGCAGTTGTTCCTCTCTGCCAGACACTCCTAAACTTCAATAAATTGTAATTATACTTTCGTTATAGTATGAAAGCTGAATTTTATATATTTTACTAGGGGACCTATAAAATGATGTAACCTCAACAGCTGGACACTTTTGATGGTTTTCACATCTTGCCAGAGTCCGCTATAGGCACTAGCGCGAGGTAACAGCTCTTCAAGCGGGTTCGAGTGAGATTTTTAAACTTGAAATCTCACAAAAACCTGCACAAGTATCAATTTCAAATCAAATAAAATTTTCACGTGTACACATCACCTGAAGATATGAAGCTACGATTGGCGTTTTCTTGAGATTTTGCCTTTCTTCCTGTTTTGCGGTTTCTTTCTATAGTATCAATGATCTTCCTTCTTAACCTAAGTGGAGCTTCATATGCTAAGTTATGAGACTTCAGAAAATTAGGATTCATGTTGACGAATGAATAAAAATTGATTCAAACTAAAAGATATTCTAAAAAATTAGATATTATATAACTAAATAAGGCAAGAATAGTGATTTGAGATATTTTCGATTTCGGATCAACACTCGATATAACAATTAAATAGAAAACATGCAAAAAAAGAAAAATGAAACGGAACACTATGTTTTCACTCTCTGATAGGTACTAAATAATAATACGATAATTGGAAATTTGTGTTACAGAACTCTTCACAATTGTTTATACTGAAAACAAAGCAGGCATCTACAAAAAATGAAACGATCACATCGGGCCCCTCAGTTGGTCACCATTTTTATATAACGTACTTCCCTACGAAATGTTTGCGATTGCATCAGCTAGCTCTAAAATTTTGGGAGACGTATAACAATATAGACAGTGAAACTAGATAATTATAACTGAAAATTTCTATATAAAAATTGATATGGAAGATCCTTGTTATCGTGATTCCGGTTCTTTTCTGCTTGTAATTCAAATCTTCAAAGCCACTCAAAATTTGATGGAACCTCAAATTGAAATTCTATTTCAACTCCAGGGAATAAAGTGAAGCCTCAACTCCAGGGTATATAGTGAAACCTAAATTCAACCCTCCTCTATCAACTTCAGGGGATACAATGAAGCCTCAACTCCACTCCAGGGGACACAGCGCTTACAAGAGCACTCAAAATTTATGAAGGTGAAAGATATATTCAACAACCAAAATTGTGATCAGTAGCAACACAAGATACGAGAAATCCAATATCGAAATGAATCTATCACCGGAATATCATGCGACCATCGGTGCATTTCGAACTACGATTATTTCATGCGATGGGGTCTTAACATTTAACTCTTCAACCTGTGTAAAGTATTTTGAAACGTTACAATATATAAATATAGAACGTTAAAAAAATATAAATATATATATATATATTATATTATATATATATATATATATATATATATATATATATATATATATATATATATATATTATATATATATATATATATATATATATATATATATATATATATTATATATATATATATATATATATATATATATATATATATATATATATATATATATATATATATATATATATATATATATATATATATATATATATATATATATATATATATATATATATATATATATATTTCTTGAAATTGATTTATAATGAAAATCAATGAGTAAAAATACAAAAAAACAAATTTGATTTCTCTAAAAAATAAGTTTGACATTTGATATCTATAGTAACTCATAAATTCAATTATTCATTAGTTTTGTCAACAAAAAGTTTATTTTTGTCAACAAAAAAAGTTTAAAAAGTTTAAAAGTTTATTTTTGTCAACAAAAATAAACTTTTCAATTTATTCAATTTATTCGTCAAGCTAGTTATTCGACGCTCGGATTGTCGTCTTTGATACCTGCAGGCGAAAGTGAGTGACACCTACCCATCCTCCAATATGTATTTATTTTTTTTCCGTAAGGAACAATGATAATTATAGAACAGTAATTTAATCGTGTTAACCAACCACGTGCGGACATGAATAATTGTATTAATATTTTACAGTGAAAATTGAGAATTGAAATTACATCTCAAAAGTTTTGAACTCGACTGGGATTCGAACCCAGGTTCTTTGGGTTTACGCCCCACTGCTTTTGACCGCTAAGCCAGCCTAAGCTAGTCGTCAATCACTTTCGCCTGCAGGTATCAAAGACGACAATCCGAGCGTCGAATAACTAGTTTGACGAATAAAAGAGTTGTTAGATATGAATTGAAGTTGCATCTCAGAGTGTAGACCTCGGTAGCTTAGCGGTCAAAAGCAGTGGGGCGTAACATCGGAGTGTCCATTGAAAATTGACAATACACCAAAGTGCGCGAATTGTGGTGGTCAACACACCGCTAACAACGTCGAGTGCCCTGTGTACAAGAAAATAATGGAAAACAAACAAAGTTTAGTGCGTAAAAACAAAAGTGTAGTGCCAAAATATATTCCTGCTCCGATCCCAACTACCAATGTATGGAAAACCAGAGAAAAAACTGCTAGCCAGAGACACAAAGTGCCTGATCAGCGTATAATAACCGAAAATAGTGATTATAACAATTGCTGTGAGTTAAGTGAATTTACTAAACTGAGTAATGAACTGAAAACTCTTAATAGTTTAATAGATGTAAATAAATCTCTTCTAGCTATAAGTAATCTAAATAAAAAATTAGTCAGTACTAATAACCATGTAGAGCGGTTTCAAATATTTTTTGAATTTACACAAAACTTAGAAATTAATGGTTTTTAAGCTCAATATCGCACACTGGAACGCTAACGGCATTAGAAATGAAATGTCAGAACTTCAAAGCTATTTGCGAAAACATGAAATTGATATTATGTTAATCAACGAAACACGTTTGAAAAAAGAGCATAAATTAAATTGTAGAGGTTACGAAATTCTACGAAGAGAAAGACAAACTAACACCGGCCACGGTGGGGTAGCAATTTTAATAAAGAGAGGAGTCGTTTTCTCACAAATAAAAAACATGAATTGTAGTATAGAAAATTTAGGAATAACACTGGAAAACAACATCACTTTAATTTCAACATATAACAGACCACTGAATAAATTCAAAAAAGATTGCCTATGTAAACTCATTAACTCTGGGAATAAAACAATAGTCATTGGCGATTTTAATGCAACACATACGGCTTGGAACTGTAGACGAAACAACAGAAATGGCAACACTCTTTACAACTATATAAATGAAAACGATAATTGTTCATTATTTTTTCCCGACGATCATACACATTACCCAGAAAACAATTTACGAAACTTTAAAAAAGTTACGAAAATACAAACTGGAACATATATAGGCAACTCATTAATCGTAGAGTAAATATAAAATACAACATTGACAGTCCGGAGAAATTAGAAGACGAAGTTGAAATATTTACAGACATCCTTATTAAAACTAGAGACGAAGTCACAGAGAAAAAAATAATTCAAACTAATACTGACAAACTTCCTGAAGCAATCCTAGAATTGATAAAACTAAGAAACAAACATAGAAAGAGATGGCAGACACATAGAAACCAAAATAACAAAAATATTATGCACGCACTAAGTAAACAAATAAAAACAGAAATTAAAAATCACAAAAACTCAACATGGACAGAAAAACTCAAGAGTTTAAATCCAAGGGATAATTCTATTTGGAAAATGACCAAAACGTTGAAAAAACCATTCCATGAAATACCAACATTGGTAGATAATTACGATAAATTTTTGACTAATAAAGAAAAAGCGAATAAATTAGCATCTCACTTTGAACAGATACACACTTTAGGAGAAAAGGAAACAAATAGCCAGAAAGAATTAACAAAGAAGGTGAACGATTTCTTAAAATCACAAAACCGTTTAAATTACAGAGATTACGAATCAATATTAGTAACACCAACCGAAATTATAGATATCGTAAAAGCCCTGCCGAACAATAAAGCCCCTGGCCAGGATGGTATTAGTCCCAAGTTACTTAAAAATCTTCCTAGAAAGGGAATCGTCCAATTCATGTACATAGTAAATGCAATAATAAAACTACAATACTGGCCAAAATTATGGAAAACATCGGTAGTTATCGCCATTCTCAAGCCAGGCAAAATTTCAAGTGACCATAAAAGCTATAGACCAATAAGCCTCTTACCGATCCTAAGCAAGGTATGTGAAAAATTAATTTCAAAACGGATTGACAGAACATTGAAACAACTTAAACTTAAAGATGAATTCCAGTTTGGATTCAAGTCGCAACATAATACTTCGCAACAGATAGTTAGAATTGTAAATGATATTGTAAGAAATTTCAATAACAAAAGCAACACGATACTAGCCCTGTTCTATATAGAAAAGGCGTTCGAACGTGTTTGGATTGAGGGATTAATATATAAAATGATGATCAATAAATTTCCTCATTATCTAATAAAACTGATACACTCTTATCTTATAGAAAGGCAGTTTAAGGTGAAAATAAACAATTGCCTATCCACAGCGAGAAGTATAAAAGCCGGGGTACCACAGGGCTCAGTACTAGGACCAAAACTATTTAATATATTCATTCACGACATACCCCAATTCCATAACTCAAAAATAGCGCTATATGCAGATGATACAGCAATCTATGCAAAATCATTTTCAGCGGAAGCTGCCAACTCATTAATTAGATATCACGCTAACAAACTGAAATTATTCTACGAAGAATGGAAAATAAAAATGAATACAACAAAAACCGAACAAATAATATTTACACGAAAATTTACGAACAATAAAATATTAACACCAATGAAAATAGGTAATCACATTATTAACACAAAACAGTCTGTAAAATACCTAGGTGTAGAATTGGACAGAAGATTAAATTTCAAGAAACACATACGAAGCACAATAAACAGAGCATTTGGAATCTCCAAAAACCTATACTCACTTCTCAATAAAAATAGTGAACTCAGCAAATATAATAAGAGGTTAATATATACCACAATAATAAGACCAACAATAACATACGCTGCACCAGCCTCGTGCAACGTAAGTAATGCAACACTCAGACCTTTGCAAGTTTTTCAAAATAAAATGTTAAGGTTTATAACAAAAATGAACAGATTCATCCCAATAGATACACTGCATCGAGAAGCGAATATAGACTAAAAATGATAAAAAAGCTGACTAAAAATATAACAAACCTCAGAGCACACAACACAGAAAACATGAAACACAGATTACCATATCAACATTTACCTATATTCAACGAGAGAATATGAACCAAAAACGCACTACCACATACCTGGTATTTAAATCTCGTAGAAAAGCATTCCTTTGGTGACCTCTGCTAGATATGATTATAATCGAATACAGAAGCCAACAATTCGTCAGAATTCTGTATTGTAGAATTAAAATATGTAAATATAATGATAATGCACAAATAAAATATAAAAAAAAAAAATAATTACCTAAAGGCAAAGCGATCATCTACACATATATGATCCCTATATATATATATATATATATATATATATATATATATATATATATATATATATATATATATATATATATATATCAAGATGATATTTGTCAAAAACGAAGTAAATGTACAGTAAAACTAATAAGTAGGAACTGTGAAAATTTTAAGATTGTAATGAAAAATGAATTATGTATTTAGTTTAAGATATATAATGTTAAATTTTTGCATAACTCATGTATTATATACGTATTGTTAATATTTGTAAATAAAGATTTGTTAAGTAAGTGGGGCGTAAACCCAAAGAACCTGGGTTCGAATCCCAGTCGAGTTCAAAACTTTTGAGATGTAATTTCAATTCTCAATTTTCACTGTAAAATACTAAAACAATTATTCATGTCCGCACGTGGTTGGTTAACACGATTAAATTACTGTTTTATATATATATATATATATATATATATATATATATATATATATATATATATATATATATATATATATATATATATATATATATATATATATATATATATATATATATATATATATATATATATATATATATATATATATATATATATATATATATATATATATATATATACATATTTGAATATATGTCATATAATCTATATATTATATATTCTCTTGTCGACTGCTTGGTCGCAGATTAAGTTCCACCAGCGGTGTTTCCTGTTGCGAGGAGGTTGTCCTAGTGTGATGGCTTTCTGAATATTCTTTGTAAGGATTTCCCAATTCGTCGATTCTTCCTGATTGATTTGTGCAATGATTGTATCCTTGTGAAGTTTCAGATATTCTGGATCGGACCTAACTTTTCTGGGTGAAAATTTTTTATTTCTGTTGGGTTGAAATTTTGTTTTTATTTGGTGGAGATAATCATCCGAATCAAAGACGCCTTTACCAGTTCTGACATTTAAAATTTCCTTTACGTTGTTCTTGGAAATTGCGACATGATCAATTTGATATTCACCCTGCTTTAGGCTGGGCGATCTCCAAGTAGTTAGCTTATGTGCAGGTTTTTGAAATTGAGTACTCATGATTTTGAGTTCGAAGTTCCTACAGAACGCGATTAACCTTTCACCGTTCTTGTTGGTACGTTTGTGTTTAGTATGGAGACCGGTAGTATCTCTGAATTCCTTTTCCTTGCCTAGCTGTGCGTTAAAATCTCCTAGCAAGATTTTCACGTGGTGTTTTGGTATTTTATTGGTTGTTTCTTCCAATGTTTCCCAAAAATCTTGTACGCTTTATGGAACTGTTATGTTGTGGTGATTAATGGGAGCGTGCACGTTGCTTAAAGTGTAAGCTTTATTAGCTGATTTGATAGAAAGCACCGAGACTCTCTCGTTGGGCGATGTGAAATTGATAACCGAGTCTAGTATGGAATTGTGTATCGCGAATTCGGTACCGAAAAGCGGTAATTTGCCCATTACTTTCACGGCAGGTTTCCCTTTGTAGATTCTGAAACTGTCGGTGTCGAAATGATTCTCGTCCATGAATCGTGTTTCTTGGAGAGCGGTGATTTTGAGATTGAACTTTCTCATGGTGTTGGTGAGCTGCTTCAGTTTACCTGTTTTAGCGAGTGTATTAACGTTAATTGTACCGATGTGATGTTTTTGTTTGATCATGAGATAATGGAAGGTTTTTGAGAAGCTCCGATTCTTCTCCGCAT